TTCATTGAGCCAGAGACAAACTCTAAGAGTGACTAGTACATTCATTTGGCAGGTGGGAAATCTGGGTTCCGTCACTGATCCAAAATACTTATAGGATGTTAAAACTGCATTAACAGGAGAGATTGAGACAGTACTTGGAGATTGGTTGCTACTGTCTGGTGGTTAAGGCATTCTGGAACATACATGGCATGACTTTAAATTACCTCAAACAGAGGATAATTTAATCCAAGTCTCCTACACCTGAAGGCTTTAATCAATGAACTATTGGGTTAAAGATGGCAAACTTAGTACTTGTTTGGCAAATCTAGACAGAACTTTTTTTCCATGAGCTATTGTGTAAATTCACCCCCTCCCCACCCCCGGATAAGGTAAAGCCCCCTTCCTCCCCTGCAGCACTGGGCTCAGGCTGAGCTGCCCCTGCCTACTACTATCTGCCCCTTGGTCAGACCAAACACCATACATCTGGCCTGCTGGGGAAAAAAGGTTGAACACCACTGATCTAAGTAATACCAAATGTCTGTCATTTCTGCCTATCAGAGAATCTGACCGCTTGAGATGAAACACTTTCCCAGAAGCTCAGAAAGCTGTCTTATCTGGCTCCCAACTTTTGTTGACCAAGAGAGTAGAGGATCCCCTGCACAGTCTCATATTACAATACAAAAGGATCACTGCTCTCCCTCTCATCATGTTGGATTGGTTTTGTTCATTTCCATTAAAAAAACAGAAATAAATCTGAGAATTCACCCAAAATATCAGGAGAGTCAAACAATCCTCCACTTTTTCTACCATAAAGATTCTTCTTAATATCACGCAAAGAAAATCAGGCGTTTGCTAAATAATGTTGGTTGATCAAAGAACACAATATGCTATATCAGGTTGAGAACTGTAGGTTTGGGGGCTGTTGTTTGGCTCAATTAGTGGTGGTCTGCACTACAAAAAAATCGTATGTCCAGACACTTGACAAATAAGACTCAGATCCATTCCCCATTCCACTTCAGTTGCAAATAAAACCAAAGATCACATGAGAATGCCATAATTTTTTTAAATTGCGTTTAGATTTTCCTGTATGATGCTATCATCAAATTTTTAAAAAAATGTGTAATATAAAAAATGAACTTATGATAGTGAAATCAATATAAAAAAATAACTGGATTAATTGTTCAAATAACACAAACAAAGAGTTAAGACTGAATATTACAAAATTATGGCTCTAATATTAAAAACCGAAGGAAATGTACACAGGCAGCCAATGTACATTATTTTCTATTTTTAAATAAAATAGCTTCTGATAAAAAGTAAATCATCAATAGCCTTTAACACTAATACTATTTTATAATTTTATTTCTGTGTAGTTCTTTTGTTGTTCAAATTTTAAAAATGATCAAAAATGTTATATATTTTTTCACCAATTAGTAGATGGCCTTTAAGTTGTCACATGCAGGGTGGGATTTTCAAAAGTGCCTAGCCAACAGTCACAAGTTTTACTGAAACCCCCGCCAAAGAACCTTGTCTGTCTATGTCCTTAGACCAACACGGCTGAAACAAAGTCATTTTAGCACTTTGGAAATTCTCACCCATAACATTTATGGGCCAATACTGAAAAGCATAAGAATCAAAAGCCTGTAATGTAATGAATGAATTATATTCATATGCCTAAATTCTTCAGGCAGCCTTGTTCCTTTCAAATCAAGCAATGATTGATTTGTAGCAATAATCCTTTCAAATACTAGATGGATTTTTAATCTCTTTATGCAGTGATCAAATTTTACCCTCATAATAGCAGCCAGTACACTATTTCAGGTAATGCAATATGTTAAATGAAATAATTTAAGACCTGCTCTCACCTCTGTGATCTCAGTGACAAGTGTTCCAACACCCGTGTAGTAAAAAGGGAAAAGAATTGCTGGCAGCAGGAACAGAACTACGAGCCCTGCCACACCAAGAACAAAATTATGCCAAACTCCTAAAAAAAATTAAGAATTAAAAAATTAGCTGTCTAAACAAATATTGACACTAACAACAAAGAAAACATTCTGAACAGCAAGCAACTAGACATATAGTTGCCCTTCTGGCTGATCAATAAAAGCCCCAATCTTCCAATACCTCAGGCATGTATACCATTTACAAACCAAAGTGAACCCATTCACTTCACTTAGTCATACAGCTTTAAATAATTTCTTTTTCTTTAAATAACAGTTTCATAGATCCAGTGAGCAGTACACTGATTTCTGCCAAGTATCTTTGATCAAATAGATATACCAGATGAAAGAAAAAGGTTACTTGATTAAAATGATATAAAGAGATATCTAGATAAAAAGATGTAAAAATTGGAATTTTTCTGAATTAAATATATTTTCTTTTTTAAAATATTTGGTTAAAGCTAAATGTGAAAAATATGACAACACACTTTAAAATCCTTATTTATCAAAACTGTTCAAAATTAAATAAAAATAACAAACACTACATGCCTGCTGCCAATGTTTTAAAGGAAGTCAAACGACTGAATTAGTGGAAGTTACTTTATAAGCACTTGGAACTGGACTTAACTGATGTGTTAAATCAGCTTCTGATATCAGTCACTTCTAAAGGAATATTTTCTTTATTTCTATTTATTTAACTAGTTCTGCTCATTGATTATTCCATGTAAAAGTTGAGAAAATGACTATGGAGTCAAAAAGCAGGAATGCTCATTTTCATCTAGAAACAAGGCTTTTTGTGATATCTTTTATAAAAACAAGTGTAACTGAGATCATCAGGGACCTGAGGAAAGAAACCTGGTGCCCCAAAACAGCTCTTCCAACTATACAGCTGACCCAATAAAAAGATATTACAAATGAGTCTTGCTTTCCTGTTTTCTTCTTGGAAAAAAAATATAAGAGGATAAGATCCACTAGTTCTAAAAACCTGAAGACCATGGTAACCAGAAATAATCACCTCAGTTCACTAGCTTTGGACAACACTTCCTTTGTTTAATAAAAGATCAGTTTTAAATGGAGTGCATCCAGCACTTTCAAGTTAGTTTTGTGGAACTAATTAAAATAAATTTTAAATGCTGTGTATTTTAATTGAATTCTAATCATCCCATAAAAGGAAATGGCATCATTAATCATTTCCTAATATAATAAAATGTAAAATTTAAACATCTGAAGAAATATATGCTACATTGGGTCAGCAACCACTGGCATACGTAAGAGCACGGCACAAGGCTATTCTGCTGGGCATGCCACAACTGGCCTGTGGTCTGGGCAGCTGCCACCAACCACGGAGCCAGGGCTGCTTGCAGCATGTGGTTGGGAGACTGCAAGCCCTGCTGCAAGCAGCCTGGGTTCTGTGGCAAACAGCAGCTGCCAAGAGCCCGGGTTGGCTGTGGCAGGCAGCCAGGAGGCTGCAACTGGCTGCACTGGGGGCCAGAGCCCAGCTGGGCTCCATGGTGGTGGCAACTGCACACATGGCTCCAGGTAGATGGCAGGGAAGGGGCCAGCCAGAAATGCCCAAGCAACATCAGATGTTGCTTGGCCTCTTCGGGCTGTTCCATGCATTATAAACACTAAGGAGAGTACACTGGGGTAGCAGTTTACTGACTGAGCTCACAGCCCTGTACATGCAAGCTGAGCCATAACTAGTTGAAAACAGTACCAGCAGGAAGGGAAAAGGAAGCAGAGTGTCTTTCAAGTAGCTGCCACCACTTTATCAATAGCCACAGGAACATGTTTGAAGTGTCTAAGTTAGAAATGAAGGATCTAAGCTCACATAACTTTTCCCAGGCCAGTATTTCTCTCTGCCTTTTGATCCTCTCTTACCCTGGAAAGCTCTGATGTCAGTAAAACAGGTGAGTGAGCTAAGGAGAGACTTTAGCATAAACTCTGAGGGTCACAAAAAGGTGCTGAATCAGAACACGTACTATTTATTCAATTGGCGCAGGTGGGAAACAGATGAAATAGTCCACAGGGGTCAATTAGCCCACAGGGCTCTAGTTCCTTTGATGATATATTAAGCTAAGGCAGGTATCTCTGCAGTACGGACATACAGGGCGTGTCTATACCTTAATGTGCAGCGGACTATTCTAGTGTGCATTAGTGTGCCATGGCAAGAATTGTGCTAAAGCGCTAATCCTTGTTGCTACAGTGACATAGCATTGGCAGGCACAAACTGTGAGGCATTGGTACTGTGCAGTAATGTCAGTTACTGTGCAGTCATTTAGTATGCAAGTACTATATGATTGCACAGTAACAACTGTGCACTCTGGCACACATATAGATGATCCCACTATGCAACACAACAGCCAGGCAGGTGCACAGCTACGTCCACACATGCCTGAGCTTAAGGAGGAGAAAGGTCCACCTAATGTTTTATCCTCAACAGCTGAGTGCTTAGGGCACCTACCCAGTAAGTGCAGACTTGGGTTTCTAGTGCCCCTGTCTCTCAAACCACACAGCCACCCACAATTTCAAAAAACATAATTTATTCAACTGAAAAACTGCCATTTAGACACACAAAGTAAAATAGGGTTCTGCTTTAAATTGTTATTCGTCCTAAGTATCAACAAGCAAAAAAGCACTTAACACAGAGAGTTTTATAAGTCTCATAGAGTAACTGTCAATCCCATTTTACGAAAACATTTACATTCCTTTAAGGGTAAACCTCATACCACATCCCTAGATACCTGCCTTCTTTCGTATATTTAAAAAGAAAGATTTCAGATAATAACAAAACCACCTGAGAACTCAAACAAAATCTACTGGTCTCTTTCTTTCAAAAGTATATATTAGAGATTCTCAAAAACAATGCAAAAGAGTACACTTCTCTGAAGAGTTGATTTTTTTTGAAGACGAAAACAGTCTCTTTAACTTGATGTTCCTTTGCTGTCATTCAAATCTCATTTTTATTTTGAGATCCTGTCAATATTCTTGAACTCATGATGCCATCTGCTGTACAACCAATATACTTTTTAAATCTGCAAAGTACAAACTGACTGAAAAAGGAATATCCAGTATATCTCTTTACTTCATCGACAATCATAGTAAAATCTGAAAAGAGACTATTATTTACATTTTGAATCTGGGTCTTCAAAAATTGGGAGTAGGCTCATTCAGTTCCTTTGACAACAGTGAAGATCAGCAAAATATGTCATACAATAATAAGCTTAATCAACATCAAATATTCTAATTTCAGTCTCATTTTTTAAAATATAAAATTGACACTATAAAAATGCATTTTTTTTGTCTATAGCGGATAACTATTTGAGGCTTACAAATGCCATTTCTTGTTTCCTATAAAGCAATGGTGGGGAGTGGTTCAAACATATATAGATCTTGATGTTTTCTCTCTTTCAATTATGTCTAGCCTAGCTGGGTTTTGATGTTGACCTGCAGTAATTTAAGAAGCAAATTGTAGTAAAAAACCTACATGTGCATAATGGAAGTTTTTTATTTATTAAAGCATCCCAGATATAGATCAATTTGCTTTGCTTAACATTGATTATTGCTCACCTGCTTTGAATGAAGGCAGGCTTTGCTAATGCTTTCAAGCATTCATTGAATTTGTCACCTGGGTAGAAGGGACACATGACACCATCCTCCTTTTTGGCTGATTTTAAATGTCAGATAAAAAATAAATTATTTTAAATCCTTGTCTCAAGAAAACTTTTTTGTTTTAGTATTTTGGAGAAGTTTCCTAAACAATTTTAACAAATAATTGTACTTAGAACTCAATGTATAAAATGAACTGCAGGGTCTCATACACTCGCAACTGCCCCTGCGGCCCCTCCTTCCGGCCCTTGGGCCGTAGGAGTGGAGGGGACGAGTCAGATGTATAGTGTGTATAGTCACCTGCATGCCCATGAGCTTGCCAGCTGTGGAGCACACTGCTGGGAGCATGGGACAGTAGTGGCAGAAGTCCTCAGAGGAGCAGCTGCAGGCACTGCTGGGGTAAGCACATGGCACTGGGCAGGGGAGGAGAAAATTTACCTGCTCACCCAGGGACTGGGTTCTATGGCATCCTTAATGGGAGCTCACAAAACCCAGCTGAGAATCACTGCTCTAGTGTCTAGACCATTGCACTGCAAATGAAATGAGAATATTTAACAGAACCATTTCTTCTACACTTTAGAATATAAACTATCATTTTTAAAAGGAAATGAAACAGAATTAGATCAAATAAAAATCTGTCTCTGAGGTGGTTTGTATCTATCATAAGTAGGTCCAAGTGAAAAGAAAAAGAGATTCAAACAAATAAGCAAACAAAAACATCAGCACTCTCTTCTGCCCGGGGCAGGGGGTTGGACTAGATAAGGTCCCTTCCGACCCTAAAAATCCATGAAAAAACTCCATTAAATCCAACTCTACAAGCAATCCATATTTGGGTTAAACTAAAAATTATGCATCTTGTCACTGATTAAGTAGAAAAAAGGTAGTCAGCTGCATTATTTTCTTTCATATCTATACTTTTAACGTGGCAATAATTGTAAACTTGTCATTTTGAGGGAATATGTAATCTGTGATACTTGAGGAATAAACACACTCACAAGACAGTTTGTCATAGTGAGTAACACCTTATTGCAAGAGCATTTCCAATGAATTTTTAATGGGACCACACACAGAGTAAAGAATTTTTCAGCATGATTAAGTACATCAAAATGTATTTTGTGGTTCATTACATACAGTGATCCTTTCCATTATTTTTTTCCCCTCTGTAAAAAATGCTACTGTCATTTTTCAGGTTGGGGAGAACTGAAATTGTTAGGTCTTGTACCTCTGTTATAAATTATGATGTATTGATAACACTGGGAACTGACACCCATTCCTAAAATATTTATAGCTATTCATTTATTTTTTAAATGATCTACCCTGAAGTTCAAGTTCTAGGCTGAAGTATCTGCTGGAAGTGCTCTCAAAAGATATTTTGCCATACGTTACTTCTAAGTTGTTCCCAAGTTATAGCTAAGATATAACAACTTTTTATTTAAGTGAATGTATTGCTTGTTCCAACTCCAGGTGACCAGAACAGTTTGAACAATGGCTTTGCAATTTCTCCCTACACTAACCAACAGCAACTCAGCCTCAAAGGAGAAGAATTACTTTGAGGGGAGGAAAAATCTCCCCGTTTGTGAAATCCCTCTCTACTAAGATGATCAAGTAGGATGCAGGGTGATGTCCATTTTCAAGGTATTATTTTGTATGTGGATATCTGCCCAACAGGTGTTAAACTAAAACTATACAAAATATGTCTCCAATGTTAATCAAAATGAACACACACAAAATGACAGGTGCATCAATTATACTTTAACATAACAATGCAACTTATTACCTGCACAAAATATTCTTAACTGCTGGACTGGAGATATAAGTTGCAAATGGGTGGTGAAGAGGTCAACAAATGCTCCAGGATATACAATAAAGATAAAAATTCCAAATCCATTAAACCGTACTTGTTCTCTAAAAGAAAAAGAAATAACTGTAAACCTAAAAGCAATATTTATATTTTAGAACACTGTAGAAACCTATAGTAATTTTACATATCAGTGAAAATTAGAAGATAATTAAGCTATATTTTATTTAATCGTGTAAAAATCCAATCCTAAGCAAAAGCACTCATTGAACTTGTAACCTGGGAAGAAGGAACACACGACACCAATTCTCTTCTTTGGATATTTTTAAATGCAAGATAGAAAGTAAACTAGTTTAAATCTTTCTCTCAAGAAAACTTTTTTGTTTTACTATTTTGGAGAAGTTTCCTAAACAATTTTAACAAATAATTGTACTTAGAACTCAATTTATAAAATGAACCAGAGCTGCTCTCAAGAACTAGCAAGAGAAAGTAATGAAAATTCCTTTCTACCAGTCCCTGTAGGTTTTCTTGCATTTATAATCAAGCTTTTTTTGTTAAAATGCATTTAAGTGAACTTTGTAAGCAAAAAGGAGGGCAAGACCATCTGAAAAAGTACAAGTGGTATCTATCCATGTAACTAAGAGAAAAGGAAGAGTGAGGGAAGGTAGGAGGAGACTGAAGAGTATTCAAGGGCAGAAAAAAAGAGAGGTTAGAGCCATACAATTTTTAAGTTTTTACTTTGTACTTTTAAAAAATAAATATTTATATTTTTGGAATAACTGGATAGAGCTTATGTGAAGCTCAGAAATTTCTTAAGGACATCACACCAGCAATACTTTCCTCACATGTATCATTGCTGATATTCTGAACCATACCAGAACCAGCTAGTCCTGTATCTCATCTACGACAGTATGCAGGTCTCAACATTTTATTTATTTATTTTTCAAGTGCTCTTGCCACATGATCAAGATGCACATATATTAAAATAGATACAAACCGTACAAAGAGAATTTGTAAGAAATGATATAATCTCCAGAACTATCTATAAAACAGGATTAGCAATAGCTGCTGCAATGCCCTCGTGCACTCTCCTAACACAAACAAGCCTGTCTTTGTAAACAGTATATCAGTGATTCTCAGCCAGGGTACCACAGCACCCTGGGGTGGCTTGAGAGAATTTCAAGGGTGCCACAGGAGATCAAGCAATGTTAGCACTGCTAGATGTGCAAATATGATTCACAAGATAAATCTAGGGATTTCAAATAGGAATCCATAGTGTGGACAACACTCTCACCTGTTGTGGTCCGAGTCCTTTGCAACAGATTTGCTCTAGCATTTTTCTGTAGTCAGAAAATGAGTGAAAAAATAAGAGCTGACACTTTCCAAGTGTGTGTCTTGAGTCTAACAAAGTTGTGAACCAGTGCAGCAGACTTTGCAACTTTTCCTTTTAGATAGCAAAATGCCAAATACCAAGCCATGAGGTCAAAGCATGCCAGAACTGAAAGTCCACCTGCAATTTCAACCATGACACGCTTAAATCAAGCACTGATCTCAAAAGCAGTAGATTCACAAAAACAAATGCCTTATCAGACAAGCTGTGATTCAGATATATAGGCTTTTGTACCTCATAACACCATCTTGAGTAAGACCTGGAAAAACACTGGAGCAGAAGTATAATGTGTTCCCTGTGGCAGTATTCTGCAAAATGTACAGACATTCAATAAGATTGAAAACTTAGGAAATGACCCCAACAGAGCATTATAAGTCAATATCCGAGACACAGAGAAGTCAGTAGAAAAAGTGTAATGAAAGAGAAAGTCACACGTCTTCCAAACATGCACCTTATATAACTCTATAATTTTATGGCATACTCCATTTTTCTTTATTAAAATAATTTACACAAGGTTTTTTCTTTTTTCTTATTTTTACATAAGCCAAAATCTGAACTCAAATGCTTAGAACCTTTGCCACAGAACACAAGTAAAGGTAATTATTGTGTCAGTAGCTACTGTACTTTACTTAATTCTGCACATAATTTGGCTAAAAGAGAAGGTGAATCCTTGGTTCCAGCATCTTAGCAGCCACAGGTATGCAGTGGCCAGCCATAGTTTCACAGTAGGTAGGGTTGGAAGGGACCTAAGCAGATCATCAAGTCTGACCCCCTGCCATGGGCAGGAAAGGGTGCTGGGGTCAAATAACCCTGGCTAGGTGATTGTCTAGCCTCCTTTTGAAGACCCCCAGGGTAGGAGTGAGCACCACCTCCCTTGGAAATTGGTTCCAGCTCCTAGCTGCCCTGACCATGAAGTAGCGTCTCCTGATGTCTAGCTTGAATCTACTCTCAGTCAGCTTATGGCCATTATTCCTTGTTACTGCCGGTAGTACACATGGGAGCAGGGACTCTCCCATTGCCTGCTGGTCCCCCTTGGCAAGTTTGTAGGTGGCTACCAGATCTCCTCTCAGCCTTTTGTGAAGACTGAACAGGTTCAGGTCCTGTAGCCTCTCCTCGCAGGGCCTGCCCTGCTGCCCCCTGATCATGCGAGTGGCCCTCCTCTGGACCCTCTCCATGTTATCCACATCTCTCCTGAACTGCGGCGCCCAGAACTGGACGAAGTACTCCAGCTGCGGCCTGACCAATGTCGCATAGAGGGGGAGGATCACCTCCTTCGACCTGCTCGTGATGCATCTATGGATGCATGACAAGGTGCGGTTAGCCTTCCTGACCGCGTCCCCGCATTGGCGGCCAATGTTCATCTTGGAATCAATAGTGACTCCAAGATCCTTTTCTGCCTCTGCTGATGAGAAAGGAGTTCCCCACCCTGTAGGTATGCTGCTGGTCCTTCTGCCCTGGGTGCAATACCTTGCACTTGTCCGTATTGAAACCT